TTCTCCTCGCTGCTAACCGAGCAGCGAGGCATAGTGCCGTCTCTCTCGCTCTCTCTCGCTCGCGCTCACTCGCCAAGAGTCCGATTCCGGGAAATTATCGATTTCCCGGGCGAACATAATATTTCGGTTATTCCTCGGATTATCGCCAATCGATAATCCTTGAGGCCGCATTCCGATGAGATTATTGGATACAGGTGTGGGATACTCAACGATGCGTTCGGTATTTTGTTAAATAAATTAGATTCGCGGCAAGTTCATGAGACAGTTGAAGTTATATTTAGATTTTTGGTAGAGAATACCTTTTTCAAGATCATGTAAGAGGGGAATTAGATGTCGATTTGGAGACTTTTAGCTGGTACGTGGTATTGAGAGAAAGTTGAGAACGATAATAAAATTCCGGAAGAAGCGAATATCCATATGTTTGGCATAATTGATTATGATTCCTGTACTGAATTTTTACATGAATAGCGGAACACGTAAGGACAATGTTTTGTGCCTTAATTTATTTCTCGCCTCCCGTTTCCTTTTTTTTTGTTTTGAGATTTTCCCGATTTTGCCATAACCTTGTTCCCATCTACAATCCACCCCTCTCTCCACAACAGGCATACTGAGCGACCCCAGGACCGTCACCTTTCCCCAAAAGCCTAATTATCCTTTCCGTTCCCTTCAGGTTCCCTTTTTGGTTTTTGAGTATGTTTTAGGGTTAGAGTTTTAAGAGTTTGAGTTACGATTTTCGGTGAATCGAACATCGAGGTTAGTTAAGTTTAGGATTAAGGACTTTTTCCGGTTTGGTAATTCCGGTCAAAAATTACCTGGCGCCCATAAGGTTAAATTTTAGCAGGTTTTTGTTAGGCTCAGGGGAAGTAGGGCCAAGGTAATGGGCATTTCCCATTCACCGGGAAAATGTCACGTTACAGGGTGTATATATCGATCGTATTTTGTGATATTGAGCTATTGTTTTTGATATTCTGTATTGTGTGTGGAGAGAGTCGGTTCCCGAAGAACAAATATATTCAAAGGTTTTGTCGACATTTATTGTGAGTAATTATTTATTTATCATTCTTGCCTTATTTTCCTTTCTCTCTCTGTCTAAATCGTCCACTTGGGTCTTCCAACATCCACCTCTGAGATATTCTGAGCTAAGTTGATCGTTGTTAATTGTCGTGAAATTAACTGGCGCCCGGTTTAATTAATTACTATTGTCGAAACGTATTATTAATCTGCAAAAGGATTTCTCCAGAGCCCTGGCAGCCCTTGACCCAGGCCGCGTCAGGTGAAGGCCTTCTGTCGTTACATGTCCTTGTCGGATTTCAATTATTTCATTGTCAAATTCATTTATTCAATCGAATTCTTATTATCGAAATAAAAAGGCCTGTCTCAATCTAAGATTTTAAGATTTTGAGATTTAAGGAGGAAATAGAAATTCTATGGAGAAACAGTCCATCGGAAACTGCTTCGACTGTGGACAAGAGGGTCACTTTGCAAAAGATTGTCGCAGTTTACAGGCACCACGTAGGTCATTACCAGTTGCGTCAGAACGACGCAGCGTCAATGCTTTCGGAACGGGGTGTAAATATTGCAGATATTCAGGGCCTGAGGCCACTGATTGTCGAAAACTAAGAAAACGATTAGGAATCAATGAGTCACAAAAAATTCCGGCAACACTGATTAAAATCGATGATTCAAATATTAAGCAAAATAATGAAAATCATAATTTGAAAAAGAAAACGGAAAGAAAGGAGGAAGAGAAAGCCTTACCAGTCGGAGCCTACCAAGTGATGATGGTAGAACCTTCGAAAGGAAATCCTGCAAAATTCAGTAAAGGAAGTATGATAAATCCAACTCCGTCTGCAAGAAGTAAATCACACATTTTGCTAACAGGATAGAAGTTGAAACAGCCTACGTTATTTTTAGCAGATTCAGGGGCAAAGTCATCGCCCATAAAGAAAGATAAAATAAATTTAGGAGTTAAAATAACACCTGGTTATCGAGTTTTAAGAGGAATATCCAATCAGGATGTACCAACTTTCAGAGAAATTATGTATCTACTTGAATATCGGACGAAAACACTGGGGACATACGTTTCCCGTTGTACCTGAAACTTTCTCGTGCATTGGGGGAATTTTAGGTGAAGATTTTCTCTCTTCGCCCAGTTTGATAGTGGAAACGATCCAAGGAAAGGTTTTGGTCATCAATGGAAATTTTTTCAACTTGTACCATGACAAGGAGTCTATAAAAATCGCGGCTAGAAGTGAGGTATTGCCTCAAGTTGACACGCAGACCGAGAAAACCGGTATCGTTCTCAAAAAATAGCTGACAAAAGACGTTTTTATGGTAGAATGTTTGATGAAAGCTGTGAATGGTAAAGTATGCGTTTGTATTATTGAAAAAGATCGTTCAAAGACGCTTAAAACGGCGAATGAAGTACCCAAGGATGTGGTGATAATTGTCATACCGTTGCAGTTCATTGGGCAACTACTCGGGTGTCGAAGACAAATTTTAATTTATTGGACATTCTACGAATCTGCAACGCCTCCAAACATCATTCATGTGAACTCTCTACGTATTGAGTGTAATCTAACTGCAGACGCCTATATTAATAGTCGATGTGTACATACAATTCAAGAAATCTTCCCAAACGTTCCACCTGGATATAAGATCATTGAAACACCTGCACAGCTGATTTCCTTGTCACTCGTTGCACATTCAATGTGGATGGATTATGGCAGGAGTAAGTCATCTGGAGGATCTTCCTTATTCTTCTTTTTCAAAGCAGCATCATTCATCTCCGAAAATAGCACATTACTCATGACACTTCAAATATTTTCCGGTGGAACATCGCCGGAATGCTTCTCCATTATATCCTCGAAGTTGGGTCTGTATGGTGAAGTACTATTCAAATAGCGTATGTCGTCTAGTGAAACATTATCCATAATACCATTGAAGTGCTCCTCAAAAATCCCATTTTATATCATTCCCACCACCACTCCACCAGTCTATCAAAATTTCAATCTTAGAAACGATTGTTGATTCCTAAAACTGCCTCTACTTTTGTAATGGTCAAATTATTTCACGAAATAATATTCTAATAACTTCCTAATTAACAGTTATGCATGGGACGTTGAATTCCTTCAATTCCCTCAACTAATAAGGTTGATAAAGATGCAGTTGTTCGCATGAATCATCGCATCACCGTCATACCATATGGTCCAGCGAAGCCAGTGTCAATATTTATACCACGCTTACGTGCTCACTGGTAAATACGCGCAGCCACGTGAGGGGAGACCCGCTACAATCTCAATGAAAGAGAAAAGTATGGAGTTGAAAATCATTCCTCACATTTGATTTAGAATATAAAATATATTCATCTTATCTTATTGGTTTGTATTCATAACGATTATGAAGGAAAATCTTCCAATCATGGATTAACCCGCTGTTGTAATTATCACTGGTTGGATAGCATAAAAAAAATCCACCGCCAACAGATCATTTGAAAATTGTACAGCCATGATTATCAGTTGAGATATTAGATATCGAACATTGCAAGTTAGATATTAAACCTTGAACACCACATATTATGTATCAGTCGTTACATGACATATTAGATATAATAACAGCGTACAACACCTAGCACATACTAGACAGCATATACCAGGTATGGACGATCGCATTATCCCCCCCCCCCCCCGCCACTGTCTAATCACCGAGTGAACTAATAAAGTAAAACCCGCCATTACCGGCCGAGAGCCCAGCAGAAAACGATAATGTCAATGTCTGCTTGCACCAACTTTTTCACTGATAAATTATGAATGGAATCCTAATTGAGATCATAACCTCTCTATTATGATGGAGGCTATCGTGTAGTGATATAAATGTACAGAATAGGGAGTAGGTTCTTATATTAAGAATCAATGCACGATGACAACAACAGTTTACATACCTCTTTGTTAAACTTCTGCAGTTTTGTAATTAAATGATTTTCGATATGATCATATATTTCAGAACCGAACGGCCCAATGTATGATAATATCTTGACACTATAACCAAGGCAAATAATATCTTCAATTCAAACATTGTTAATCATTGCAAATACCAAAAACGTCAACATGCATTATTTCTACATATTAATAAGTAATGGATCATTTCACTTTGAATTATCCCCAAATTTCCTCTTCGAGCCAAGAGAGATAATAATATACACGTGTGTACACTCCTGGGATGATGGTTCCGCACAGTCTGCCCACGCTTGTGACACCGATAACGTTATACATACAGTCGTTAGCGGCATCGGGAATAACTAATGGTCCACCGCTGTCCCCCTGAAATGAAAGCTGTATCAACTACAATTTCATTATTCGGCCTAGATGTATGGCGCTTCCGACTTCTACATTTTTTCCCCAAGAGGCATTTTATTATACTTCATCAGAATTTGATATACATTACATAATAGAAGTAACTTCTGAAGAATGAGAAAAAGAAGATACAGAAAATGTTTTCCATTTCAGTTTTTAAAAATTGATATGACATTCATCTGGCAACGCACGGTGCAAAGTATTGTAAGAACCAAAACAACGTGATATTTGCGGGGCTTCGTCACCCTTAACAGTCCTCTATACCATGCAGATACTCTAGTTATTATCGATAACAGACATGAAACTTGAGTACGCAGTGCAGTTCGCATTCGGTAGTTGACCATCAATAGTCAACCCTAGTTTCAGCTGTTCAGTCGCAGTTAGCAACAGCCAGCTAGCAACAAGCAGCTAACATCCTACCCGTTCCGCGAGGTAGCTGAACGTTGAACCAGTGGAACAAGTCTCATTCCATCAACTAATCCATCATCTTCAAATACGGCTGGTTAGTAACATCAAGGAAAACAAATAAACATTAGGATGAAACTCAACGACTTTTGGCAACCAATGTTTCTCTGAGCTAATTGGGGTCTCAGCACCTCGATCCAGCTGAAAAGTTAGGGACGACCTGGGTCATAAAGGCCCATCACCCGACACAATGGGCTCTCGTCTACCCTTTATTATACACTAATAGGGGTCGGAAGCACGACTTGCTCTTAGAGCAGAGAGTGTCCATCCCTGAGCAAGACAGAACAAAGAAACAGAGGGCTCGAAATATTCTGGAAAACTGAGGGGGTTGAGGATTTTAAAAAAAAGTCAATTTTGGAAAATTTGAAGAATGTTGAGACGTGAAATTCCGGAAAAATAATTTGATTAGAAAAGGGAAAAACATTGGTTAACTCGCGACCGCGTCGAACTTATGCTCTAATTTCTACAAATTTGTGCACTAAACAATGAGCAACGCGCACCACAAGATTAATACAGGGGAAAATAATTTTCTAAATGTTAAGTTCGTTACAAGTGGGGGAACAAAAAGGACTAACATGGTTGACTGATCATGACTGAGTTGGCGGTTCTTTATGATGAATTCTTTACGGTAATGGGTCTTTACGACCTGGGTCACTTTGGTTGATTTCAACCGAGAAGAAGGGCCATAAAACAAAGGGTAGACGAGAGTCCATTGTGTCGGCTGATCGGCCTTTATGACCAAGGTCGGGCTCTCGTCTACCCTTTGTTATCCACTAATACGACATGGGTCATAAAAGCCCTCCTCCTCAGCTGAAATCAACCCAAGTTGGGGTAAGACTTGAGAGAAGGAAAAGAGGAGGAATGTCGCTCAAGAATAAGAAAAGCGGGGACATAAGTGAAAAATGGAAAATGTGAAATTTTCTTGACAATGAGGTTTTTATTTATTTTGAAAGCAGACGTTACAAATAAAATGTGAAATCCAGCTGTTCAATTTCGGAAGCAAGGAATCAATTCCACAATGTCATGTTACAGTGGTCTCGCAGTTATTTATTGAAGAAATGAAATTGATTGAAGTAAAAATGTTAATTGAAGAAAATTTTAAAAATAATTTTATTTCCAAAAAATATTTATTTTTATATTCTATTTGATACTTTTTTTCACGTATTTTTCGGTAAGGTCGATATTGGGCCAAAAATTTAAAAAGCAAGTTCAAAGGTATCAATAATTCGAGATGTTGAATTTTAAGAGTAATTTCATGTTTTTTTCAATGAGTAATAGTTATTTTACATTTAGGTCAATAACTCAGCAGAATTTGAAGCTATTAAATGGAGGGCTCATGTAGTTTCAAAAAAGAATTAGAAATAAAACCTGATCTCCTATAAGACTGGTGAAATTAAATCTTATCAAATGCCTCATATTTCATCTTGTAAAATTTTCCAGGCTGTTGAGTGGGTCATAGTGCAATGTGATAGCCTCAAAATTGACTAATACTCTTCAGAGAGGGATCTGGTTTGGGGAATATTTTTAGGAGATGGACAAGATTTAAGCGGATTACCGGATAATCCGTGAGAGGATCAATTAATCACTCGCCTGGCGTTGGTCAAAAAAGTCAATTTAATTAGCGAAAGTCACTGATTTACACTTGTATTTGTCACTAAAAAAGAGCTGAGCGAGAATATTATATAATTCAAGGAACTATTACTATATTTCTGAAAAAAACTAACAATGAGCGGGTCAATTGATTTGACAAAAGAGGAAGTTCGGAGAAAAGCGTGTAAACACTCTCACGGTCGATATGCAAATGAAGGAATGCGATAAGCCGCATGGTGGAAGATGTGGATCATCGCGATGGTCAATTACACCTGTCCATCAAGTGGCGCCTCAAGTGTCAGAGGTGAGAGGCCACTGGTCATCCGAGGTGAGTGAGCGAAACAGCTGAGTGGGTCATATGTGTTGAGTGCATGTGAGTCTGCGAGAAGAATTTGGTAGAAAACCGAACAAATACACTCTGGCAAAAGTTGAATAGTCACAATCATAAGTTGTAATTAATTTTGCCCTTATCAATTATTGATACATTTTAAATTTCGGCTTCTACTTTTTCCTTGGAGAACAATGCTGAGAATGAGATTTTCAATTAATTAGCTACAAATTATATATATATTTTTTTAACTAAATAGGATATGTGGAGGGCAGAGCACAAGAAATATTCTAAATTGGAGTGCAAACAATATTTTGGGGAATATTTTTCTTTGAGATTGTCTGTCGAAACCGTAGTCATCAATTATATTGCGCTTGATCGATTGGTCGGATTTGAATCACCAACGTTCTTTACTGCTTCAGAGCGAGATGAACTTAGAGTCCGAGGGCATAGGGCTGATCTGTGGCCTTTAATAACTCCACAAACGCAGCAGGCTGGAACATAGCCTCGTGTAAGATGTCCACGTTTACCACAGTCTGAACATCTTCTAGTAAAACGCTCAGTACGTCTTACTGCCTCGTCTTTCGGATTAGTCCTTGAACTCATGTTATGTTTTAGGTGCTCACTGAGTTTTCACTTCAGAATTTGGAAACGACTGTGATAAGTTGACGAAAACAAACAGCTTTATATAGCAAAACTCTACGTCGACAAAAGCAGCAAAGCAATGGAGAACTAACATGTAAAAACTCTAGTTCAAGAACATTTCATATTTCAGCCGCTTATGCTAGGAAGCACGGCGATTATAGTACGGGGGGAGGCACACATCATTGAAAAGTTTGTCCACACCCCACGAATTTATTTTGAACCAATTGGCAAATTACATCTGAGCAACCAGGTTTGGTCCATGGCTGCAACTACGGATATCTCGTCATGACAAACGAGAGCTAATCAGCTTCAAGAACATTTAAACTATACGAACCATCTTTGCTTCACAGCTGGGATATCATTTTGATCTCATCGTGGACCAATGGATTGCCAGTTTTACCGAATCAGTAGACGCCATTAATGAGTTACTATGGTTAAATGAGCACAAGAAACACCGAGGACTTATAGACGGTATGGGTTTCGTAGCGAAGGCCCTATTTAGGACTATGGATGCTCAAGATGCCAAGGAAATTAACGAAAGGCTTTTAAACGTAGAGAACGGTGTAAAAGCGACATTGGCCAACTAGAGATTGTCAACTCCATGCTTTTCCAATTACCTCAGAGGGAAGAAGTCATACGGAAAAATGAAAACATATTACTGTGGTCACTTAAGAAGGTACGACGCAAAGATAAACAAATAGCCCATGGACAATTGATAGATGAGCACTTCATGATACAAGCCATTTATACCGAAGTAATCAGTGATGCTGCAAAAATAAAGAAACTTTCAACTGATTCTAAGGGAATGCTGTTGGTGACACAAAAATTTACGGAGCAAAAATTAGGTATTCTATTAAAGACCGTCGGGTTACCGAAGGCATACATTTTTTTTTTAGCTGAATAGATGGAATGCATAAAATGGAGGAGGCTTCAACCATTGGTGTACCTGCATTCGGATTGAAAATTATAGCCATGATAGGAATATTTCTCATCAAATTACAAACGTTCGATGTCTTGCTGACGCATGGAATTCCGGTCCCGACAACGAACGAATAACACTCATACTTAGAGGCTAATAGACTTCTGGTTATACACGGGCCAACGCAAGAGTACCATTGACAGAGATACAATTTAAAACTGCAGACAAATAAGTGGACAATACTTATGCACTGCGACTCTACGTATACAAAAAGTGGGAAAAAACAGTCCATGTGAAGTACAAATGTACTTGAGTCGTGAAAAAAGGCCATGGACCTGTCAAATAAAACACGTCAAGCTTCAAGGGCTTCCTCAGAGGAAAAACAGTGTATGGTATTACCGGACCATCTAAAGACGCTTTCAAATCGGGTTCTCTCTTACCTTCCGATGTTGTATCCTCCGTGGGCCTCTACTAACATTTATTGTCGGTTCTACGCCCCGAAGGATAAATCCCACCAATAGTTCATAGATATTTAAATATGAGAGCTCATTATTTTACTCATGTCATGTTACTGATTACGATGGATATAACTAACAAACCGAATATCCGAATGGCCTCTTAAGTACGTAACTGCTTATACGTCACTACTTGGTCAGCATAATGTAGTTACACTGGCAAGTGTCACTCTCATATTGCTGTATGTCCAATCTGTCGAATACATAAAAATTGGTGTCCGTGACAAACCATTACTATTTAAACGTGTAGGACCGCTTATTTGGGCTTCCGAATGAAAGCTTTGAAATGGTTTACTTTTGACATTGCCTAATTTTCATCGGACATGATGCAGAAGGGCATGAAACGTAAAAATATGAAATTCGGCAAACATGTTTGTATGGCCTTTCTCCCCTTTCCCCAATTGTTGGAAATTAAACTTTAGAAAATACAATAAGAGGACAGAAAATAATTCCGAAACGACAAAATTTCGTCAAATTATAGGTCCTAGTTTGGACTAACTGTCGACGTAGAGTCAGCAGGATTAGTGCAATACATTCCGAGAAAAACACTCTTCTTTTTCAAAGGTTTTTTGTAAATATTCGCAAAATTAGTTGGACTATTATTTTTTAATATTCGTTTCGATGGCCCCTATCAAAATTAATCAAAATCTCTATATCTATATCTGTACCAAAATCTCTATATCAAAATTGCATCAGAAAATGTCGTGATATTAACCAAGATAAGGACGACTGTTTAAAACGTACATATAAAGTAGCCTCAATGAAAATGTATACATTATTTTAAATAGTGTCACGAGGTAGAATAATTATTAAATTGTCTCCTACCCCTTAATTAACACATGCGGAGCGGTAGAAAGACAAAAAAATCTGCAGGAAGGCTAGGGCAATCATGCCTGGCCCCAGCAAGAAAAGGTCAAACCACTACGACTAAGCTGCTCACAGGACATAGCAGATTTAAAGAACATTGCAGAGTCATTCGCATGGACTCGGATGGGTAGTACGGACTCTGTAATGAAGCAAAAGAGGATAGTCTACACGAACAAGGATACGACGGATCTGTTAAGACTGGCCACAGAGGCTAGGCTGGACATATAATCCTTGCGTAACAAAAGCGGAGCGACAATAACTCTAATCTGAGTTCGGTGGTATTGGGGAGGCTACTCCGACCATCCGCGTACTTAAATCTAATCTAATCTTTCCAGTCGGCCCCTCAATTTCTCCCCCCCCCTCCCCCGCCATTTAGATTGCAACCTTGAATCACCCCCTTCTTATTGTATTGTGTCACGTAGCCGTATGTGAGCTGGCCTTACCACCACCCTCAAGTTAATTAGTTGTTAAAAGGCTTTGATTATTTTTTTTTATGGTAATAGTTTTGTAGCGGGACTAAAATATAATGAGATTTAAAGTATCTGGATTCCCCGAATAATCATTCAACACCCTCCCCCCTACTTAACGTTTCAAGTGCGACCGTAAAGTATAAGAAATTCTCCCTAATTTTTTGATTTACAGTGAATTCCCGAATATCGCCTTGGTTGGGAATTATCAAGACGGCACTTACTTTGATGGTACGATCTTGTAGTTGTTGGTAAATTCTTCCAAATCTGTCTGATATATTATATTAGGCTTACCTGACATGTATCTTTTCCTTCTTCTCCAGCACAAATCTGCCAATCGTCAACTATACCGTAGACTAATTTTGAGTTAATTGTATTTCCGTTAAATGTCTGATTACAAGTGCCCGGGGGCATAACAGGAAGCGTCACCTTAAGAAGAGTGTTGGATCCCTCTTCATCATCTGTAAAGGCCATTACATATCACTTCATGAGGATATCGTTACAAAGGGATGAACATCAAACGTTAAAAATTTGCATAGTAAATCGGATGCTCTTACTCCAATCAACTTTACCCCATCCAGTCGCAATTGCTTTGCCGGTGTATTCTAGACTTCTGGCAGTCGGTAAGCAGGCAGGTCTCACCCAGGAATCGAAATTTACTGGAATGTCCGTTTTCAGCAGAGCGATATCGTGATAATGCGAAGACGCTTGGTAACTTGGATGATGAATCCTTTTGATTATTTTGCGATCCTGTGGTTTTGCATCGTCACTGGTTTGTCGTAAATTCAGATCTCCAACTCTGATCCACTCAGCAAATCCACTGGAATTAAAATTCAAAAATTCAAATTTATCGCGATTTGCAGATCTATCACAAATACGAAGAATTTGAATCCCGATTGATTTAAACTGATTGTCGTATGACGGATGGATTTGCTAATCGAAATAATCTGTAAATGAAGAGTTAAATCTAAAAAATTACAAAAATCATCGAGTAATTTGAAATTAAAGCATTATGTGATGCAGCGTGGCCGAAGCAACAGTCGGAGAATGAGAATCATCGGCAACGAAGGAAGCGGAAAGAAAGCGTACATAATTCGTGGGAAATAATTCTTGTCTATGCCCAAATATTAAAAATATTAAATGTCGCAAACCAGCCATGAACAGGGAAAGGCCCGAAAAGCCCACAATCCTATTAAAAAATACGATTCTAACAAAATTGGAAGGAATTTAATTCGATATACTATACAGGGTATTCAATCATGTCGCACCGTAACGTTGGGGTGGCAAGAGCGTGAAATGTGCAGGGGAATGTTCCCCTGTGACTTCATGGTCTTCATCGCCTCCCTCTGAAGTTATTTCAGATTAAAATTTGTATTGTGTTGTGGTGTTCTTTCCTGCTGGAATGGTCAGCGTCTCCCTGCAACTGCGGCTACTATTCCCTCAGGTTCCGGAGCTACGTAAATCCATACATTGGCTTTTCTGATGTTGATTAGAGTAAGCCCTTGAAGCTTGACGTGTTTTATTTGACAGGTGGAGGGCATTTTTTCCGGACTCATGTATATTTGTACTTCACATCTGTTGCGGACGCCGCAGTTACTAGGGTTAAAAATTTTTATATATTGTGACGTATTTTTGCCCTCCGCGGAAGAAGGGAAAAATATACGCAGCCCTCGGCGACCAATCTAAAACGACAAAAGTTAGACGCCAGGACGTTTTTATAGAAAACGGCCAAAAATTTTCAAAAGACAAATTAATAAAAGAACAACTGCCGACTACTCAGTATATCAGCCGCGGAGGCGGCTGGGTTCCCAACACTGTCCTTTGATTCTGAAATGGCTGGGTAAATTCAAACTAATCGAATTTCATAATTGCGGGGTAACAAAATCATTAATTTAATATCAATAATAAAATTATGAAAACAAAACAAAATATCATACAAAGCCACGACTCAAACTTGATTTAAAAGATCACGCTGTTTCTGCTCATGATTAATAAATAACGTCACAAACAACAAATATGTTAAACCAGACAAATTCCTTATCTCAAGTGAATTAAATATAAACATCATTATTCAAAAAATTAATAAGATTCGTCAAATTAAATAGAGTAAAAAAATTAAAGAAAACGTCTACAGTCGGTAAAACAGCTAGTCGATCGATAAATAAGTTTGTAGATAACACAGGAATTGAAATTTTCTACAGAAACAAGCGTGTCCATTAATACCCAAAAAAACATAAAAATAAGAATGAAGCTATAGAATGGGGAATTGCCTCGAAAGAATGTAAACAAACCGCCGAAAGTAACCGAAAGGGTTACCGGTAAAAACACAAATATCGAGCGTCGACAGACGCTGCAATTCCACTTTCGATGCGATGAGATAAAATAATATATTAAATCGAAATATTTTTGTGGCTACACAGACCACGATGAATACTAAGTTGAAATCTCGAGGATCATAGCAATGACCTCGAGAATTCAAGACTCAGCCAAACAAAAAAAAAATCGATAACTAGATAATCATAACTTCCAAAATGACAATTTAAAAAAGACAAGAGTCGTTATTGAATCAAGTTAAAACCACAGATTTAGGAATAAATTTAATACTCGAAAATTCCATCACCAGTCAAAAGAAAAGAAAATTATTATTTTTAAGATTCTAATGACTCTACCCAACGAGTCCAACCATTCGTGAAGTCTGAGTATTCGAAAATGGCGTCATAGGCCATGGACATTAAGTCAATAAAATTAACAAAATCTCGAAATCTCCAATTAAATAATGTAAAAATTTCAATCAATCAAAATATCATCCACCACTCACCAATAATCCAGTCCAGAAAAAGTCCTGGGAAAGCAGCAGCAGAAATTCTCAGACTCTCAATAGAATCTCCTCCGTGGTCAAAACTTTATATAGTTGAATTCTTTTTCAATTTACAGCGATAAAATTTTCTGTTGTCTAACACTCAGCGTCCAAAGGAGAAGTGACAATTAATGGTGGAACGACAACGCTCTACAGGTGACGAAGCCGACAAATACTGTGCTTGGCTCGTCACCGACACGAGAATATTCCGATTGGCTAATGACTCACGTAGCTAATCAAATTAACAGAGTTATTCAACGAAGGAGTCCGGCTGACAAACAGTTGTCAGGAGTGAATCTCTGGACTCCTAATTCAATAAAATATTATATATATTTTTCGATTCTCGGTCCACAACTCTTCAGGTTAATTGAGCCCATCTATTTGTCGATTGTAATCCGCCTAATTGCTGATTTGGGAGCCATTAAATCCATGCTCCGGACACTGGCGCCACCACACGTTTTCTCTACATGAACTCTGGGGATTGCGCGAAATCCGAATTTCCTTTTTGTCGTCTCGATTCCTCCAAGAAGAAAAATGAAGAGCAACCCAAAAGACTTCAGCATTTCCCACGATGATTCCGGTGAAATGTCCCAGACTGAGGGGTGAATTATGGCTCGATACATTTGAAAATAAATAAAAAAATACAATAAAATAAAAATCATAAAATAAAACACATTCAGACTCTTGCCTCGCTAACAGTTTCACTTGCCGTCTGGACGTCTCAATACCGACGAACGGTCGAAATTCAAAACACCACGTTACAATATATTCGGAAAACGTAACGGAAACGTGGTGTAAACCAAAAAAAGGGGGCTTTGGAAAATCCCATACAATAGCAAGGAATGTCGGTATGACCGGCCTAAATGTTGCGGGCACTGGATCACTAGGCAGGTCAAAATATCGGGTAAAAGGTGAACCCTTCAGATGAGTTGACCGTAACTAGTCACGACAGGTAGTGTCCGGAGGAGAAAGGATCTTATAAATCTCACTTAGTGAGGGCCGAATGCTTGGGACTAAGTACTGAAGTACACAATGGTTATAATATGAGGAATTAGCCCACAAAGAGAAAGATCCCCATAAGTTTCCCTTAAAATAGAATTTAAATATATTACGCTTCACTTGGTAAACCGAATAGAAGAAAGTCCAAGATAAAAACCAGAGGTAGATAGCAAAAGTGTAGGAGGGAATAGTGTAAATGTTGTAGGTGTGTTTTCTGACTTACGGTTGTTGAAATAAACGGCAACAGGGAACGGGTTATCTCTTCGTGTTTCCCCTTTCGCAGCGGATTCCGGAGAAACTCGAAAAGTATGCTAGGTCCTCTAGCACTGATGGAGTCGAACACTGCTCAAACACGCTTCCCTAGCGCTGGGGGTGATGATGGTGTGACCCCGGAAGGGCTGGTGGTGTCGATGGACCGGAGTTGTTCACTCAGGCAGTACTTGGTTGTCGCCTAGCTTTAGTCTTGCAAGGTATAGAGAAATCCCGGAGCTGGATACTGAGGATAGACTCAGTTGTACGTTGAGTAATTCACCAGGTCGGTGATGGGTGGACGAGAGGATTCCCTGAGTTGTACACTCCGGATGAGTTCAGTTGTCCGCTGAGCGATTTACCAGGTCGGTGCTGCTTTGCAGAAATGCGATCGATCTGACGCAGTGTAGAAAAGTGAGTTGTGCACTCAATGTAGATGAGAGTGGGCGATGTTGCGGAGCTACTTCCCAACAGACGGATCTTGAAGGGTCAACTCTATTAATGAGCAGGGCCCCTCGTTAATAACCAAGAGTTGAAATTTTACTGTGGACTCGTTGGTAGTGATTAAAGCTGCGCACTCGATCTGGGGTTGCGAGAAGAGTCGAGTTCTACGCTCGGACTGTGCCCCAGTGGTCAGAGGGTGGTCCTGCAGAGTTGCTCTCCTGAAGACTGGGCCTGGAGAGTTGAACTGGATGACGAGCAGGATACCACTTGAAGATCACGAGTCGCAGATTTAAATTAGACTGACCTAATTTGGCGAAAAACCGCCCTTTATATACTCTTCGGGCGTGATTTACCTGCAGCCGTTGGCATCTTGAGATTTCGCCATCCAACTTTTTTTGAGGTATGGTGGGAGGAATCTTCATATGATTAAGAATGTATTCAAAAGGGCTGTCTCTGGGCAATGTACTCTCACCCTGATGCTACCCCCCATTTCCCCAGTTGCGGGAGAAGTTTTTGAGAAAAAGACGGGACTACCGCACATTGGCCTCTCTCTAATTAATGTTCTTCTAATGTCAAAAGTGGCATGTTTATGCATCTTTCTGACGTTCATGGCCCATAAATTTGACACCTCATTTGACGATGGATAACTATTGTTCATTAGAAGCCTCGCGTGTCTAATGGAGTGGACCCGTGGAGGCTGGAGCACTTCGCATAATCGGCATTTAGGCCGCTCATACCGACATTGCTCGCTATTGTATGGGATTTTCTAAAGCCCCATTTTTTGTGGATATACCAAGTTTTCCGAATATATATAAAAAATCTTAACAGTAGTAACTGCGGCGTCTGCAACATAAATGCCGATTATGCGAAGTAACCACAATAAAAGGGACCACAGCAGGTACTCAAGTGGCCGTCATATAGCCTGAAAGACGTTAAGGAGTGACCATCAAGGTGACAACCCATGGAAACCACGATTCACCTAAAAAGAAGCCACACAATTGCTCAAAGGCACAACTAAGGAGATCCTTTTCACTCTATTGAAATTGGGGGCCAATAACTTAAACAATCATCCAATGGTAACCGCAGATGGGAGCTGCCCCAAAGAATTGGAAATGTCACACAAAAAGGAGGTGTCAAATTTATGGGCCATAAACGTCAGAAAGATGCGTAAACATGCCACTTCTGACATTAGAAGAACATTAATTAGAGAGAAGCCAATGCGTGCTCGTCCCGTCTCTTTCTCAAAAACTTCTCCCGCACCTGGGGAAATG